CTTACCAATAGAATGTCGGCGTGTGGGATTTCTAGGTTTTCCACTGTCAAGATGTGTGTTGACTTTAATTATATCCCTTTGTTCTCATCTTTCGCGCAGGATGGTTTTCCCTAGCTGCAAACCAGTTCTGTTATTTATCACTTTAAATGTCAATGTGAGGCTAACTATGTGAAGTGAACCAACTTGCGTTTGGAGACCCGGATTAGACAGAACTTTCCTACTTATATAAGACAGTATTGAGTCAGCGACAGTATTCACTTGACGCAGTCGGTTTGTGAGTCAGCGATTGTACTACATTTGGTGATCGCTTTTCAAATATTCAGACGGAGCGTTTAGGGTACTGCACAAACTCGGTCAGCTAAACATTTACATTTTTTTAGAAACTGTTTATATCAATCTTCATCGACCGACTTTGTGTAGGCAGGAGACACCCTGTTTTCGGTTTTCTTTCACTCGTCTTGCCGTGTAGATATGTTATATTTTTCTCTGAGTGGGACACGTGTATATATATATATATAGTCTTGCGTCTCTTTTCCATTCCGTTCGTGAAATATCGGTGTTATTATATCAAGGATATAATAATGCTCATAATGGGGGAAATGTACTTGGGAGAATAAATACTTCTTCAAATGCTAACCCATTATAAACTCTTTTCTACGGCTTATCAATACTTTCCAGTTTATTTAATGCCAGAATATATTTATAGATTCTAAATATAATAATGGCTTAGCGATAAAAGTTTTACTAATTAACCCATAGCTGGAGGTATGAGAGGTGGTTACATACCTTTCTAAAGGGTAATTGCCCGTAAGTGAATTTAATGAACAGAATTGAAATTGGAACTCGGCTCTCCGATTAACTATTTCGAACCATTAAACATTACACCACCCACACGTTCAAATTTACAACATCTGGTATTCCAAACATCATCCAGGTACTGACCAGGGTCGACGTTGCTTAACTTCGATAATCTTACATTATTTACATTATTCGGACTATTGTCCTCATCTTTGTCGCTATATTTATCACAACGTTTCAGCCGTTGTACGCTCCGGCCTTCTTCAGGTGGTTGGAATGTCGAACTGAACCCTTATTTTCGCTCACTGGGGTAGACTGTTCTAGTTCCACTTGCCATGTTTACTGGATTTCAGTTACCAGTTATCTCCTGTTAATTTCCCTCTGAAAGTTCTCCACTACCTTAACCGGATATTGAACTCACACACTTTGGGTCCTGTCACTGGATCTAACCAACGCCTTTATCCATGTGTCCTTGATAATCTTACAAGAACTAGTGTTTCAACTAGATATAGCCGCGACTTTAACTTGAGTGGCTTTTCAATTCGCATTGATTGAAGTTTAATGAAAAAACGTCGAAAATTTATTCCGATCAATCGTTTTCTTTATCATGTATAGAAAGGAGTAGAGGGTTCTGCCCTAAATGCAAGCATCACTTTCTTTCCCTGAAACCGTCCTTTAGTATTTTTTTTTTTAAGCATTACGCCCCAAGCAAGGCGTGAAGCCACTAGGATGCAGGGGGTTGCGGAAGATTTGGAGCGAGAGCAGATAGGAGTGATAGAAGAAAGGATGAGGAGAGAGATAGTGGATAGATCAAGGTAACTGGAGGTGTCGATTGACATTACATTTGAATAGTTGGAGATTATAGCTCTCAGGGAAACAGTAATTGGGAAGGGTGGTTCACAGGCGAGAGGTGCGAGGTATGAAGCTATTGGAGTAGAAGAGACGGCTATATTTAAAAATTTCTATAGTGTAAGGGTGGGAGCGCGATGCCAGCCTCGTAGGCCGCTTGGATTCATGGAATCTGGGAACCAGATTTTCATTGGTCCTTTAATGTTTTGAGTCCTATCCAGTCATGATATGGTTGAAAGATAAAGTTCCAAATTCAATTAACAAATCATCCAAGACAATACGTTCAATAGTTTCTTTTCTTTTTTGCTTAACTTACATGGAAGCTAGACATCAAAGCAGCTAACACCAAAACTGGTAAAATAATCAACAATTGGTTAATTGGATATTTTGAATATATTTAGCATCTCTCGTTTGGAATAATATAATAATAAAATTTTACCTAAGAAATTAATCTAATTCTCATATGTTAATGACGCTCTATTAATATATCGCCACGAAACAGCAATTATATGATGGCGATTCGAATGTTTTGATTAATTTTGAACATTTTGGGACTGTTGTCTGTAAACATAACATCTATTTCCCATTAATTTAATTTCCCGTCTCTGAAATAACATATGCTACGTAAAAAAGGTCATTATTGTGTTCGGTCCCTGTAAAAGTGAAGAAAAGTAAATGTTCATTTGTGTTGTATATCCCCTTGGTACTAGGGGTAGACTTGGTCCAACAGTTTTGATTCACTAATATGTCGCTTTCTTCTTTCTTTTCCACCTTCCTGCCGCTCGGGTGATTTCTAGTTGTTTTTTCGGAGATAAAAAAAAAAAAAAGAAACAAAAAAGGTCTGAAACTTATCTATTTTATTAACACGTCGGCGTGTACATTTTTAACTACCCAGTGGGGTCGCTCTATCAACAACAACCCCCACTGGAGATTCCCTGCGAAACGAATTAACCACGTCTGAGGTCTTCGACATGTAAAAACTTACCCCCTGAAAATACTTTCTAACACCCACGTTCCGCTCGGCCAATCAAAATCAAGATCCCTATTTTGTCTACCAGTTGACTCCAAGGTCACTCTCAGAAGGTCTGAGCCAAATACACTGCCGCTAAAAAATAATAGTATGAAACTATTATTTACACTATTTACATTATTCGGACTATTGTCCTCATCTTTGTTGCCATGTTTATCACAATGTTTTAGACGTTGTACGCCCCGGCTTTCCTCAGGTGGTTGGAATGTCTAACTGAACCCTTTATTTCGCTCACTGGGGTAGACTGTTCTAGTTCCACGTGCCACGTCTAATGGATGTCAGTTATCTCCTGTTTATTCCCCTCTCCATCCACATCTGACATCCATCAAAACATGGCACGTTGAACTAGAACAGTCTACCCCAGTGAGCGAAATAAAGTGTTCAGTTCGACATTCCAACCACCTGAAGAAGCCCGGGGCGTACAACGGTCGAAACGTTGTGATAAACATGACGTCAAGGTTGAGGACAATAGTCGGAATAATGTAAATAGTGTGCATAATACTTCATCTCAGAAATATAGAAGGAAACTATTATTTAACATACCTTTTGTGATGTCAACAAACAATTGTTGACAATTTGGTGATGTCAACGAATAATATTTGCCACTTTCGTAATGCTCGTTGTAGTAGAGACTTTGTAATCGCAGATTCAACTATATTACCCTGTCGAACAAGTGTCAGACGCCTTCGAATAACACTCGCACTAATAGTACTTGCTCGATAATCCTCGCTCGAAGAGTAATGCGTATAGTGAACTGAACAGAGAAATAGTATCGTGAATAGAGTAGAGAATAGCGGTCCATATATGTTGAAACTTGACTAATGCATGGAATAATAATGCAACACAAAATGTACTTAGAACAAAATGTATTGAAACAAGAAAGTGTACACAATATTTAAATATAGTCTTTTGTTATATTCCTGGTAAACCGTTCCTGGAGAATGTGTTGACTGAGTCGCAGTCGGGCAGAGTCTCTGGTTGAATCTCTTGATTCCTCCCTCTCTTCCCGGTACCAACCATATTTATATGGTCGGTACTCCACTATGCAAATTAGGTGGATCCTACCACAACAATATAGTAATAGAGGATAGAGTAGAAATGGTGATCCGAATAGTAATAGAGGATAGAGTAGAAATAACGATCATTATTCGTCAGCTACTTCCTACATAGATGCGTTTTCCTCTATGGCCACATTGTCTATTTAATTCAATAATGGGATCGCCTGTGTTTTCACACTGGCGATCTATGTTCAAACTTAAGGGTTGGCAGCGACACTCTATTCTTATATAACAATGCCTTACCTAACCTTCAAAAATTTCATTTATGAATGTTATTTCAACTACATTATATTTAACAATTTGAAGCTGAAACATTATCTTAGTAGCAAATAAAACACATCTTTTGAAATACGAAAGAAATATAAGCCAATGTTAAAAGAAATTTTACAGTTATGGCAAGAACTTCTGCTCATTTGATTTTCGTGAATGTTTAGTAGATCTGAACTGAAGTTCTAGTAGTTCCGTTGTCCCATTTTCTTGATACTGTTCTTCCATAACTTTAATGTCTTGGTGAAATCTTCGACCTTTCTTATTCAAATTAACTAATGTTAATAACTGGCTAAATTTTCTAACATACATATTTGATACAGACTGTGTGAAATGATTATATTTACGGACACCTGTTCTGTTTCGATTCATAACAATGCCACTTCTTTTAATCTCCCACACTACAAGCAAAGCAATAAAGCCGCTAAGAAATAATGGGTTACTGAGTGTGAAAGAATATGAGAAATATAATACGATAACATTCAGGAGCGAAAATGGCCAAGAATTTGGACGATTGTTATGTTGGCGTTATATGTTCAGTTGATTCGTCATTATTTTAAATTAAAAATGTTATTCACTATAAACATATAACAATAAGTGTTATGAAGTATGATTTCATATTTTATCTGTTCAGAGGTAGTCGAATAGCTAACATATCGAGTGCTTAATTTTTCAGCGAGTCCAAGTCGCTAACGAATGTGACACAAGGTCAGTTTAAAGTGGGTTTGACGGCAATGCCGCCAAAAAATTCACAAGCGCGCTGGCAACTTCCTTATTTTGACGACAACTCAATCGCCAGTCAATAATAAACCCATCTCCCTGCTGAATAAGACGTGCTGCCAGGTGGGGATGGACCCTATATTCATTTTGTTTATTTATTATTATTATTATTATTATTATTAGAGCCGTTGGTGTCTGTTGGATTTTAAATAATCCTATCCGATTAGATCTCTCTTTCTTTTCTATTAGCTCATATAACGTATTGCGTTGCTCTATAGCAGTTTCTTTATTATCTATTCTGTTTCTATCTATCTATCTCTATATCTATCTATCGCAGGTTGTTTATTATCTATCTATCTATCTATCTATCTATCTATCTATCTATCTATCTATCTATCTATCGAGCAGTTTTGTTTATTATCTATCTATCGAGCAGTTTTGTTCATTATCTATCTATCTCTGATTCTATCTATCTATCTATCTATCTATCTATCTATCTATCTATCTATCTATCTAGCAGTTTTGTTTATTATCTATCTATCTCAGTTTGATTCTATCTATCTATCTATCTATCTATCTATCTATCTATCTATCTATGTTTATATCTATTTCTGTTTATAACTATCCCTTTCTTTCTCTCTCTCAATCTCTCTCCTTATATATATATATATATATATATATATATATATATATATATATATATTGAGAGAGAAAAAAAGTGGAGATTGCGTGAGAGCCAGATATGTGTAATTTTACAGTGTATGTTTATAAGTATTTGATACTTTGTAAAACGCTTAAATGGCACGAGAATTCAACTCTGTCAATAATTGATTCTGTCTTTTTCATTCTCTAAAGTCGTTTCTTGTTACAGGATTACTCCAAGATCCAGACCAATGGATAAATACCCAAACATCTACTAATTATCTCGTCTCCTAGCTTAAAAATCCAATTATCGTCACGTGGTTCCACTCATTTTCTGATGCGTCATTGTCCGGCAGACAAACCTATTTAAATCGTTGAGTGGTTTACCCAATCTCTTGCTTCTGGTAATCTTTGTTCAGTAGGTTGGGATAGATAGATGTTTATACCGACGAGATAGTCTTGTCTTCCTGCACGTAAATAAAAGGTACATTCTATTGAAATATCTTTATTCAGTTAGTAATGCTTACTTTAAATCCTGATCATTGAAATACTCTTGACTTTATTTTAAAGGCTGCTTTAGAGTAAATTCTTTACGATGTACTTCTACTTGTGAAATATTTCTGTGGTAAAATCGGTGAATTAAAACCAATCTTCCAGTACATGTTGCATTGATTTCTCATTACTAATTCCTTTTCTTAATACTACAGGTATTTTCATTCTAATTTTAGTTACAGTTTATGACTATTTGCAGAAAACGGCAGATATATGCAGAATTATATAAAAATGATTTGGAATTTAGTACTTATAGAACAAGGTTAAAAGTTTACTATTGTGGATAGTCATGATCGCCTGTATTCTTAAGGGACACGACCCATAGAAGAAGAAGAGGAATGGACAAAGAAAAAGAATAATGAGGAAGACGAGGAGAAGAAGAAAATACGGTAGAAAATGAAAAGAAGTATAAGCAGGAGAACATGATGATAAGGAGAAAAAATGAGAATAGAAGAAGAAGAAAAGATGGAGGAGTTGGAAAAGAAGAAGGAATAAGAAGAAAAGAAGGAAGAGAAGAAAAAAGCAAAGAAGCAAGAGGAATAGAAGAAGAAGAAGAAGAAGAAGAAGAAGAAGAAGAAGAAGAAGAAGGAAAAAAGAAGCAGAAGAAAAGAAGGAAAAGAAGAAAGGGTAGAAGAAGAAGAAAAGAAGAAAAGGGGAAAAAGAAGAAGAAACAATAGGAGAAGAAGAAAAGAAGAAGAAGAAGAAAAGAAGGAAAAGAAAGAGAAAAAGAAGAAAGATTAGGAGAAGGAGAAAAGAATAATAAGAAGACAAGAAGGAAAAAAAGAAGGAGGAGAAGAAGAAGAAATAGTAAAAGAATAAGAAGAAAAGATGAAGGGGAGAAGAAGAAAGTGTAGGAGAATAATAAGAAAATAAGAAAGGGAAGAAGAAGAAGAAAAAAAGAGTAGAAGATTAAAAAGAAAAGAAGAAAGGGGAGAAGAAAGAGGTTTTCGAAAACGACCTTTATTAAAATTAATATAATATTAGATTGTGTTATAAAATTATATTCATTTATATCCTCTTTAATCCTTTATTGTATTCAATTTTATATATTCGCCATTTTTTTTTTATTTGATGAGGTACATTTTGTTGTGTTGTAATGGCTAGCAAGCTTGTCACGCCAGATAAATTACGACTGAGTATGTGTGTTCAATCCTCACTTGGTGCTCTATTCATTGGGCTTTGTTTCACATCTATGCCACGCTTAGTAAATCTCTATATGTCCGCCATTTTGGTTACCATTTATCAAGCAGTTTTTCGATACTATTTTTCTTACTAAAATTCCACTGGTACAAAAAAGAAAGATTTTTGAAGAAAACTGATTTTGGTTTATACTAAATCAAATTCCCCATCAAAGCGTTTCGCAGCGATAGGAGGACAGATATTTTAAGAAGAGTTTAGTGCTTTTTTTCTTTGTTCTTAAGTTTCCTGTTTCTTAATATTTTGCTTAGCTTATAGAAGTCCTCTTGCACTGTCCCAAATACGGATTTCGGTGACGAATTTTCCTTCCCCTGTTAAAAAATTTCCTAAATATGTAATTATTTTTACTTACTTGATTTTGCTTTCTCCAGTTCGTAGTTGGATATTCCTTTTGATGATAACCATACATTCTGTTCGTTTATAATTAACGTTCATTCCGTTGTTCTCGCCCTATTTTACTAAATCCTGTAGGAGTTCTTGTAGTTTAATTTCTGTCCTATCTGTATATATAATATTGTTAACACTGTAGCCGCCAAAAATTAATTTTGGTAGGACTTCAAGATTGCCTCACGGTAAACGTTAAATAAGTCCGAGGAGAAAACATTTCCTTGTTTTACGTTCGTTTCTATTTTTGTGTATTTATTGAATTCTATTTTCTAATAGCCTACTGTATATGTTCTATCTAAAATATATACAGTAGGCTATTAGCATATTATATATGTTCTGGATTTCTTTTTAAAAACTTAACCGCCACGTCACATTTTTTTTTTTGCTGACGCGTTTAGACTAAAGATATAATAATGCGTGTGGTGATGTAGAATATGAAGGAATTGGAAAAGTTTTAGCGAACCTCGTAAAAAGATTTGAAGAATAGAGAGCTCGAGAAAGAATCGAAGTCATCTCGATGACATTATGATTAAAATCAGCAAGAATAATGAGCCACCCGCTGAAATACTGTGGAGACTGTCTGTAATTTGATCTCCAGCGAGTGCCACCAGGTATGACAAGTGCAAAACCTTAACGAGTGCATTAATAGTTTTAATAAGATGAGGAACAACAAATTAGCGAATACAAGATGGTGAACAAGAAGATAATGAGCAAAGGAGAAGAAGAAGAAGAAGAAAATGACGCTGAAGGAAAATAGAATTAACACAATTAAGGTGAATAAGACGCGAAAAAAAAAGGGAAGATTACGATAAACAACAAAAGAAAAACAAGAGAAAAGTATAAAGTGTGAGAGAAGGAATAAGGAATCAAAGAAAATGGAAAAGAAAAAGCAGAAAACGAAGACGACGTTGAGGACGAAGAAGAAGAAAGGGAAAAGAATAGAAGAGGAAGAAGAAGAAGAAGAAGAAGAAGAAGAAGAAGAAAGGGAAAAGAATTGTAGAAGAAGAAGAAGAAGAAAAAGTGAAAAAATTTGGAGAAGAAGAAGAAGAAAGGGAAAAGAATTGTAGAAGAAGAAGAAGAAGAAGAAGAAGAAGAAAGGGAAAAGAATTGTAGAAAAAGAAGAAGAAGAAGAAGAAGAAAAAATGAAAAAGAATTGAAGAAGAAGAAGAAAAAGGGAAAAGAATTGAAGAAGAAGAAGAAAAAAGGGAAAAGAATTGAAGAAGAAGAAGAAGAAAAAGTGAAAAAATTTGGAGAAGAAGAAGAAGAAAGGGAAAATAATTGTAGAAGAAGAAGAAGAAGAAGAAGAAGAAGAAATGGAAAACAATTGGAGAAGAAGAAGAAAAGGAAAATAATTGAAGAAGAAGAAGAAGAAGAAGAAGAAGAAGAAGAAGAAGAAATGGAAAACAATTGGAGAAGAAGAAGAAGAAGAAAGGGAAAAGAATTGTAGAAGAAGAAGAAGAAGAAGAAGAAGAAGAAGAAGAAGAAGAAGAAGAAGAAATGGAAAACAATTGGAGAAGAAGAAGAAAAGGAAAATAATTGAAGAAGAAGAAGAAGAAGAATAAAGAAGAAAGGGAAAAGAATTGAAGAAGAAGAAGAAGAAGAAGAAGAAGAAGAAAGGGAAAAGAATTGTAGGAGGAGAAGAAGAAGAAGAAGAAGAAGAAGAAGAAGAAGAAGAAGAAGAAGAAGAAGAAATGGAAAAGAATTGAAAAAGAAGAATAAAAATAATAAGAAGAAGAAAGGCGAAAGTATTGAAGAGAAGAATAAAAACAAGAAGGAAAAAAACAATGGGATAGATTACGTAGCTGTAGTAGATGATGATGATGACGATGTAGAAGAAGCTGCAGACGATGATGATAATGATACAGAAGAAAAAGAAAGGTAAAATTACTGAAATGAATAGTTACAAGAAATCGGGAGAGGAGAGAGAGAGAGAGAGAGAGAGAGAGAGAGAGAGAGAGAGAGGTGGGAGAGAGAAGAAGAAGAAGAAGAAGAAGAAGAAGAAGAAGAAGAAGAAGAAGAAGAAGAAATTAGAGACAGATATAGCAAGAAAACACACAAAATGAGAAAGAAGTTACGAAGAAGATGAAGACGACGGAAAATAAGAAATAAAAGGAGGGATACGAGTGAAGAGCTAATCCTGAACAAATCAGCGAAAGAAGGAACAATAACTACAGGGGCAACAGTTTTGGGAAGAAGTCAATGCAGCTAACACTGTTATCGAGAGCCACACATGAAACTTATAAATAATCAGCGTTCCAGAAACCAATACTCTACAATTCATATTGATTTGGCTAGACTGTCATTAATCATTATTAAGAATCGATCAGTAAACAAGTTTCTTTCGATAGAATGTCTAAGGGAACTTTAATGAGAACAAATGCATTCTTTTTTCTTTCGAAATTTCCAAGGAATTTCTCATATCTGGTCTATGTCTTTACACATACAATGCAAACATAAAAACAAAATATGAGATTGATTTGATTTTTACAGCTTATCAAATCTTTGTGGGTTATTTACAGTCGAAATATATTTTAGATTGTAAGAATACTTTTTTTGTGTTTGCGAGCGAATATTGCATTCACAGGTTTTTGAGAATAACGATTTTTTTGGAAGATAACAATGACTTTTTCCAGATACAATTCCTGTTATTTAATCCCAAATTAGTGGAGAGTAGAGGTATATTCATGAATTATGTAAGTGTATTCGCACGTAAGTGGATGCAACAAGCTAAATTGCAAATTAGAACTCGTACCTCCAATTTCTCATTTCGATCCGCTACAAATTAGACCACCCGCACATACATAAAAATGGATTAATCATCGAAGATGTAAACTAAATATTAC